CTTGCGGGGGTTGAGCTCTGGCTCTTTGGTCCCGCCTCTCAATTGTCAATCAACTGGTGTACAGGTTCCTGAGCTTATTGGGCTCTATCATATCTACACTTGAAACTGTGTATGGAGTCAGCCTCCACCACATCACTGCCTAATGCATTCCATTTGTCAACCACTCTGACACTAAAAAAGTTCTTTCTAATATCACTGTGGCTCATTTGGGCACTCAGTTTCCACCTGTGTCCCCTTGTGCGTGTGCCGCTTGTGTTAAATAGCCTGTCTTTATCTACCCTATCAATTCCCTTTAGAATCTTGAATGTGGTGATCATGTCCTCCACTAGCTCTTCTGTCTTGCAGCGAAATGAGGTTTAATTCCCGTAGCCTCTCCTCGTAGCTCATATCTCTCAGCTCGGGTACTAGTCTGGTGTCAAACCTTTGAACCTTTTCCAGTTTGGTCTTATGCTTGACAAGATATGGACGCCATGCTGGGGCTGCATACTCCAGGATTGGCCTGACACATGTGGTATACAAAGTTCTGAATGATTCCTTAAACAAGATTCTGAATGCCGTTCTTATGTTGACCAGCCTGGCATATGCCGCTGATGTTATCCTCTTGATATGGGCTGCAGGGGACAGGTCTGGCGTGATGTCAACCCCAAGTCTTTTTCTCTCCCTGACTCATGAAGAATTTCATCTCCCAGATGATACCTAGTATCTGTGTGTGTGAGTGTGTGAGTGTGTGTGTGTGTGTGTGTGTGTGTGTGTGTGTGTGTGTGTGTGTGTGTGTGTGTGTGTGTGTGTGTGTGTGTGTGTGTGTGTGCGTGCGTGCGTGCGTGCGGTGTGTGTGTTTGTGTATGTGTTCGACCGCACTTGCTCCCTTGTTTGCTTACTATTTAGAATGCGTGGAAGCGCTAGACAGTCGTTTACATGTTAATTAGAATGGACATGTGTGTGTGTGTGTGTGTGTGTGTGTGTGTGTGTGTGTGTGTGTGTGTGTGTGTGTGTGTGTGTGTGTGTGTGTGTGTGTGTGTGTGTGTGTGTGTGGTGAGACAACACAAAACTACAGACGGAGAAGCAGGTTCCGAAACCCTTGACAACCGCCATCTTAATATTTACTATTTACGTAATTTCATGTTGAAACAGTTATTCCAGAAATTGTTCTGCTAAACACAAGTGTTACAGACGATGAGTCACAATAACGTGGCTGAAATATGTTGACCAGACCACACACTAGAAAGTGAAGGGACGACGACGACGTTTCGGTCCGTCCTGGACCATTCTCAAGTCGAAACGTCGTCGTCCCTTCACTTTCTAGTGTGTGGTCTGCTCAACACAATTGTTACACAAACAGTCTTGATAAAAATTAAGTGGATATGGAAAAAAATGCTGCCAAAGTAAAATTCTTTGAAAACACAGTTTTTATGACAAAAGCCTTAATATGACACATTTGTTTTGATAAGGCAACTGGTAACATCCCTGGTATAAACTGTTAAGAGAAACAACCCAGGCAAAGCATCTATCAACGAAACAGTCCCAGAAAGCAACGAAGGGAGTTCATCTTAGCATATTAGAAGGCGTTGGTGAAAGTGATTGAAAATACACTATATAAAGGCCATGCGGGTGTGGTGAGAGGAGAGTGGGGGTAGGTGAACTGGTTCTGTATTCTCCTTATAAAGTATAAAATGGAAGTAGGAGAGTTCATTTTTTATAGCTCCTACCCAAGTGAAGAAAACGTCGGATATGAAATAAAAATAAGATTCGTGGCAAACTTATTAATTAAACCTTTCTGTTCGAATTGAAAACAAATACCAACAGCCACTACAGCTTTCTTCAACTTTCTCTTGATGACTCGCTAAAGAATTAATTTACTCCTCCCGTCAGACTTGGTAGCCTCGGTGTCCACATAGCTCCCAAGATGCCTTACCAGCCTGTTTTTATCTTTCAACGCACCTAAGCAAGGAAATTTTACCAGAAGATCTTGTATATTTAGCATGGGTTCACAGCACATTCACACAGTGCAGGTGTGAAGTGCAGGCAGGAGTGCCACTAAGTAGACTCACTCTTATAGTTCCAGTACTCAGACCAGTCCCATTAAAAACCTAAAAGCAATCCAGCTGGGACAAATTCTGTCCCAGAATTCTGAAGCCTGTCCCAGCAATCCAGCTGGGACAAATTCTGTCCCAGAATTCTGAAGCCTGTCCCAGCAATCCAGCTGGGACAGGCTTCACAAATTCCTTATAAATATGCTTGTTTCACAGCTGTTGATGCTCCCCATGCAGGGGATTTCTGTTTAGTGAGCTGCATGTGAACAAGAGACTCGTGTCTCAAGCTACATCACCTCCATATTAATTGTAGTGTCGCTCCACTTCGTTACCCCAATCGACAATGTTTTCTGTCGATGCTCCCCATGCAGGGGATTTCTGTTTAGTGAGCTGCATGTGAACAAGAGACTCGTGTCTCAAGCTACATCACCTCCATATTAATTGTAGTGTCGCTCCACTTCGTTACCCCAATCGACAATGTTTTCTGTCGATGCCACAGTGTATTTCTGGCAAGGCAGAAGCCAATGAAAACAAATATGCAACTTAATCTAGGGGCCAAACCTAACATAATGTAGACTCAGCCAAACCTACCTGAGATGGTAACCTAGGTTAGGGTGTTAAACTTAGGCTATATTAAGTTTAGATTATGTTAGGTTATATATAGGTTATGCTATATCAACCTACCGAATCAACCTACCCTGCCTTTGCGCCCTGGAAAGGCCACTCCATACCAGGCCGACACCAGAGCGCAACTCCATAGTCTCCTGAGACTGATGGATGCCTACTACTACTACTACTACTACTACTACTATGCTAGATATAATCTAGGATATGCAGATGACGAGTCACAATAACGTGGCTTGAAGATATGTGAACTAAACCACACACCAGAAGATGAGGAGACGACGACGTTTCGGTCCGTGCTGGACCATTATCACAGTCGACTTGATGATGGTCCAGGATGGACCGAAACGTCGTCGACGTCGTCTGCTCATCTTCTGGTGTGTGCTTTGGTCATCATGACCGAGGACAGTCTAGACTGGTGTTTCCACTTTTGTTTCTCTCCACTCCCCCCATCCCCCCCCCTTCCTCCTTTTATAATGTAAAATGTTTAAACTCCACTTATTTCGTGTCTAACAAATGATTTAGTTACCAACCGTAGTTATCAATTGGTATATAAAAGTATAGCACAAACTAGATGATATATCTTACCTTGAGGTGCTTCCGGGGCTTAGCGTCCCCGCGGCCCGGTCGTCGACCAGGCCTCCTGCTTGCTGGACTGATCAACCAGGCTGTTGGACGCGGCTGCTCGCAGCCTGACATTCAAATATCGTAGACATTCAAATCGTTACGTCAAACACATAGAACACAAGTATCCCAGACGTGGAAAATACTGGTTTATATTACCGTGTAATACTACAAAAATATTATAGCCAACATAAAATAGTTAGGTATAAAACTTGTAGACTCACCTTCTGAAGCAGTTATTCCCGAAAACACAACTACGGGTTCGCCATAGCCCGTGCTGTTTGGAACTTTTGGTTTCAAGTAGCGAATCTTAAAACAACAACAACAACATTCTGAAAACTAAATTACAATTTTCACGGTTGAGATAAAATCTCTTGGCTTGAGTTTTGAGCAACTGTTACTGAAGATCGGAGGACGGTGGACATATCTCTGCACGGAGAGAAGAAAGAGGACATACTCATGTTTGGAGAGGCTGCAAGTGGACATCCCCATGATTGATTGATTGATTGATGAAGATTAAGCCACCCAAAAGGTGGCACGGGCATGAATAGCCCGTAAGTGGTGGCTCTTTTGAGCCATTACCAGTATCAATAGATGATACTGGAGATCTGTGGAGGTGCGACTGCACCCTGCGTGACGGGAGATGTCTCCCGTCGACATCCCCATGCAGGTAAGGGGGTAGATATACCCATGCAGGTAAGGGGGTAGATATACTCATGCAGGTAAGGGGGTAGATATACCCATGCAGGTAAGGGGGGTAGATATACCCATGCAGGTAAGGGGGGTAGATATACCCTTGCTGGTATGGTGGGTAGATATACCCATGCAGGTAAGGTGGTAGATATACCCATGCAGGTAAGGTGGGTAGATATACCCATGCAGGTAAGGTGGGTAGATATACCCATGCAGGTAAGGTGGGTAGATATACCCATGCAGGTAAGGTGGGTAGATATACCCATGCAGGTAAGGTGGGTAGATATACCCATGCAGGTAAGGGGGGGGTGGTGGATATACCCTTCAGGAAGAAGGAGGTGGGGGTAGACATGCCCCATGTAGGGATGAGAGGCGAAAAAAACCAAACCAATACTGGAAAGGGAGTGGACAAAGCCATGCAGGGAGTATGAGTAGGTGGACATATCTCATTAGCGTGAGTTGGATAATAAGGCTTCACCGCTTACCCACGCTGTGTTGAATGTGGCGGGGATGGGTAAGGTTTACACCCCATGTCCGTGCGGGGGGGGGGGAGGGGGGGCAGTGAGAGGAAGATGGGTTTGATTCGGACTCACTCACCTACATCTTAATCATTACAGATACACTCAAGATCATACTTAAAATACTCTCGTTCTGCATAACGTCTTCTAGTGAACATGGCAAGACAGTCTCACTTACTCACGGGGAATTGAAGAAAGTAGATGTATTTAGGTGATTCACAATAACGTGGCTGAAGTATGATGACCAAACCACACACTAGAAGGTGAAGGGACGACGACTGTTTCGGTCCGTCCTGGACCATTTTCAAGTCGATTGTCGACTTGAAAATGGTCCAGGACGGACTGAAACGTCGCCGTCCCTTCACCTTCTAGTGTGGGGTCTGGTCAACAAAGTAGATGTATTAAGATATGGAACATTAATCCCAGAGAAGCAATCAAAATTAGCCAACTTCTAATTTCAGGCCCTAATTAGTGCATGGCATTAAGAGCATGAGACAAGCAGTGTACTCACCTGCCGAGGAGTTGGGGTGTAGTGGAGCCTGGCGGGAGGCGTCTCGAAGACCTCCCTGAAGTGTGGCGTCGCGTTGTAGTCCTCGCGGGAGCTGACGCGGCCGCCGATGTCGTATTCGTCAGGGTCGAGGTTGAAGTTCTCGCGGCCGCGGCTTCCCTGCTTACCGTACTCCTCCCGCGACTCAAACTCGTCTCTGTGGCGTCCGGGACGTATTGGGTCGTAATCATAGTCGTCTCTGACTCGCGAGGGTGGTGGGTCATAGTCGTCCCGTACCCTGGACGATGAAGGAGGGTCGTATTCTTTCCTACCTCTGGACACAGACGAGTCGTATTCATCCCTCACTCGCGAGGAGGACTCGTATTCGTCTCTCACTCGCGGAGAGGACTCATATTCATCCCTCGTTCTCGTAGAGGACTCATATTCATCCCTCACTCGCGTAGAGGACTCATATTCATCCCTCACTCGCGTAGAGATATCATACTCCTCCTTCACTCTCGACGGAGACGAGTCATAGCCATCTCTCACTCTAGACGGAGGAGAATCGTACCCGTCTCTGAGCCGCGAAGGAGGAGGATCGTAATCCTCTATCAGTCCGGACGAAGCCGGGTCATAGTCGTCCCTTACTCTGGTGGAAGGCAGGAGCTCAAACCCGTCACCTCGACTCCGGTTTGCCGGGGAGTCGAAGTCGTCGTATTGTTTGCGGGCGTGCCCGAGGGCGGGTCTCTGCGGGTGGTGCGCGAGGATGTGGAGGGATTTGGTTTGCGGCTTTCCGCTGACGGGGGCGCAGCCGTTGGGATCGCCCGTGTGGCTGTGGCGCCGTAGAGGCTGTCACGGGGAGACGGTACTGTTAGTGCTACCCACAACACGGCCTCTTTATGTCATGTCATGTCATGGTTTTGTCATGGCAAACAGCTGTTTAATTCATGAATGTATTGTTTCAGAGATGCAGGATAAACAATAATGATATTTATGTGCATAGTCACACATATACGTGTATAATTAAGTATTTTTTTAGTAAGATTCCTATACAGTAAATTTTTTTTAAATAAGATTCCTAGTCTAAAAAAATTAATCAAAGTTAAAGTTTTAATTAAGAGTATAATATGATTACTACGACAATAGGAAAGTCTTTATGACATTATAATCAGTTGAAATAATACTGCAAAAAGCACATGGGCTTTTTATATATAAATATGAATAAAAACAAATAATAATCAATATTTTTTAGAAGAATCACTATTCATGCATAATACAATCTATTTCTTGTTAGTATACCTTAGAACTGGTAACTAAATCTTGTGATTTGGGTAAAAGTCTTTCAGAATATTGTTTCAGAAGCATTTTGTGTTGTTTAGGTAGAATGCTATGCTTTTCTTCTTGTTCTTTTTGTAATTGAAAATCTTGGCTAGCAATCGTGCAAGTCTCATCGGCATCTGCCCAAGTTACGCCTTCAACGGTAGTTCCATTTTCTCTGATTATTTTGCCGTTTCGTTTTCTTTCACAGCGAGCTCTCCCACCCTCTCTCCGTGACACCATCGCTCCGTTACTCATTTCCACTCCAGAATCCTCACTCGATGCCTTACTGATCTCTCGATTTCCATGAACGCCTTCGGGTACTCGCTGGTTATTCATCAGAGCCTCCTCTTGACCCTCATTAATAGGCATAACATCTCCATGGATTTCCATTCGGTTGAACAAGTTGATAAAGTCATCCAAATCGGAGATTTGGCCACCGTAAGCATCGGTCTGTGTGTGATATAGAAAGTCTGTATTGTAGCAGTACAAGATAAGTAGGGTTATAGCAGAGGCGCATCACAGGGATTACCGTACTCACTGCACTCAAAATGTTCTCTACTGCAGGCTACAATGGTGTGGGAAAACTGTCAAATACTGAAGCCTCTGCATTCTACGCCACAACTGGCGCCTGGAACACACACACAAACACACACAGGCTTCTACATAAGAAGTTTGTACACGAGGTTCCAGGAGTGTGTGTGTGGAAGCCTATGTCAGACGTTTTGCCAGTATTCAGGTGCATAAACCAAACAGAAAAAATGCATATCCGACGTCACTACGCAGGCGGAACACTGGGCGGGTACTGTGGCTATATCCTCTTGCCTGTGGGCACGCGGACAGGGTAAAATTCTACACTAGGCTACAATCTATATATTATGTATATTATTATTTATTGATTTTTTGACGTTTGACTTACATGATCTAGATTGGTTGAGTTCAGGAGGTGAGTGCAGGAACAAGTGCAGCGATAAAAACTATAATGGAATTCCGGGTGTAGAGATGAAGTGTTGAATTCATACAGGTGCAGCCTGGAGTAATAGAGCCTATTGGGCGTGGTCACGTGGGTTAAGAGCATTATTATTTTTTTTATCTACGGGGGTTAAAGATGTGCGCAGGTGTGGACAGGTGTAAGCAGGTGTGGGAGGTGGGGGATGTGCACACGTGCGCCTAATATCCATAATTACAAGCCCGGCCGTCTAGCAGTACTAGAGTTAGGTTCTGTGATAGATTAAAATAGGAACCTCTGAGGAGTATAATGTCTTCAATTTTAAACCATTTTTTTCTTCCTCAGATTTAGCCATCAAATGTTTAGCTAGCCAATGATAAGAGTCGACCAGTGAAATGTTTCAGCTCAGGGCAAGGCAATTTCCACATTGTTGAATTGCACTTGATTGAAAGTGGAGTTGGCGTGACTTCCATTAATCTCTTCTTTGTTGATCGTGTCTATTTTTTGCAACATTTTTTGAGATATGTAAATCATTAGAATATCTTTTTTTGTAATGGTTATTATCAATCTTTTTAATTTTATTATACGAATAATTTAACAATTATATCCAAGACGACATTTTATATTATGTAGACGTGTCTCATCATTGATGGTCCACTATAGTGATGGTCCACTTCAGTGATGGTCCACTTCAGTGATGGTCCACTTCAGTGATGGTCCACTTCAGTGATGGTCCACTTCAGTGATGGTCCACTTCAGTGATGGTCCACTTCAGTGATGGTCCACTTCAGTGATGGTCCACTTCAGTGATGGTCCACTTCAGTGATGGTCCACTTCAGTGATGGTCCACTTTAATGATGGTCCACTCCAATGATGGTCCACTCCAATGATGGTTCACTCCAGTGATGGTCCACTACAGTGATGGTCCACTTCAATGATGGTCCACTTCAATGATGGTCCACTCCAATGATGGTCCACTCCAATGATGGTCCACTTCAGTGATGGTCCACTCCAATGATGGTCCACTCAATGATGGTCCACTTCAGTGATGGCCCACTCTAATGATGGTCCACTCCAATGATGGTCCACTCCAATGATGGTCCACTTCAGTGATGGTCCACTCCAATGATGGTCCACTCCAATGATGGTCCACTCCAATGATGGTCCACTCCAATGATGGTCCACTCCAATGATGGTCCACTCCAATGATGGTCCACTCCAATGATGGTCCACTCCAATGATGGTCCACTCCAATGATGGTCCACTCCAATGATGGTCCACTCCAATGATGGTCCACTCCAATGATGGTCCACTCCAATGATGGTCCACTTCAATAATGGTCCACTTCAATGATGGTCCACTTCAATGATGGTCCACTTCAGTGATGGTCCACTTCAGTGATGGTCCACTTCAATGGTGGTCCACTTCAATGGTGGTCCACTTCAATGGTGGTCCACTTCAATGGTGGTCCACTTCAATGATGGTCCACTTCAATGGTGGTCCACTTCAATGAAGGACCCACTGCAGCAATGGCTCCTTTCTTTGAAAGTCCACTTCAGTGACAGTCCACTTCAGTAATGACCATCTTCAATGAAAGCCAACTTTAATGTTCATGAAAGGCTGTTGGACCGGACGGAATCTCACCATGGGTACTGCAAGAGTGTGCAGAAGCACTCTAGTTGCCACTTTCCATGGTTATAGTACGTCACTGAGACGGGAGACCTACCAGAAAGATGGAAGATGGCTAATATTGTCCCGGAATACAAATAGGGTGACTGACAAGAGGCACTGAGGACTGACAAGAGGCCAGTGTCCTTAACTTGTATACCATGCAAGGTGATGGAGAAGATCGTGAGAAAAAACCTAGTAACACATCTGGAGAGATAAGACTTCGAGACAAACCACCAACATGGGTTCAGGGAGGGTAAATTTTGCCTCAATGGTTTAATACAATTATACGACCAAGTGGCAAAAATCAAGCAAGAAAGATGAGGGTGGGCAGACTGCATTTTCGTGGACTGTCGGGAAGCCTTTGACACAGTGCCCCATAAGAGGCTGTTTCATAAGTTTGAGAAAAAGGCAAGAGTAACTGGTAAGGTGCTCCAGTGGACAAGGAAGTACCTAAGTATTAAGAAACCAGAAAGTAACATTGAGGGGTGAGACCTCAGAATGGCGTGAAATCACCAGTGGAGTCCCCCAGGGCTCTGTACTCTCACCTGTCCTGTTTCTGATATTTGTAAATGATCTCCCAGAGGGTATAGACTCGATCATTCCTCTAAATGTTTGCTGATAATGCCAAAAAATATGAGACGGATTAAGACACAGAAGGACAGCATGAGGCTTCAAGATGGCCTTGACAAACTGAAGGAATGGTCTAAGAAATAGTTGTTAGAGTTAAACCCGAGCAAATGTAAAGTAACAAAGATAGGTGTAGGGAGCAGGAGGCCAGATACAAATTACCATTTGGTAGAAGAAATTCTTCAAGAATCAGAGAGAGAGACCTGGGGGTTGATATGATACAAGACCTGTCCTCTGAAGCCCACATCAAGAGGATATCATCTGCGGCATATGCCAGGATGGCCAACGTCCTTTGATAAGGTTCAGAGGAATGCCACTAGTCTAGTACCTGAATTAAGAGGTATGAGCTACGAGGAAAGACTAGGGGAACTAAATCTCACGTCGCTGGAAGACGAAATAGTTAGGAGAAACATGATCACCACATACAAGTTTCTCAGTGGAATTGATAGGGTAGATAAAGACCACTCATTTAACACAGGGGGCACATGCACAAAGGAACACATGTGGAAATTGAATACCCAAAGGAGCCATTGAGATTTTAGAAGAACTTTTTCAGTCAGAGTAGTTAACAAATGGAATGCATTAGGCAGTGATGTGGTGGAGGCTGACTCCATACACAGTTTCAAATGTAGATATGATAGAGCCCAGTAGGCTCAGGAACCTGTACATCAGTTGACTGACAGTCGAGAGGCGGGACCAAAGAGCCGAAACTCAGCCCCCGCAAGCACAACTAGGTGACTACAACTTGGTTAATACTTTAGTGATGTGACACTTCAGTGATAAACCACTTCACTAATGACCCAATTCAATGAAGACCCATTACGTAGATGGCTCACTTCAGTGGCAACCCACTTCAGTGACGGCCCACTTCTGTGATAGTCCATTTCAGTGATGATCTACTTCAGTAATGGCCCACATCAGTGGCGGCCCACTTCAGTGGCGGCCCACTTCAGTAATGGCCCACTTCAGTAATGGCCCACATCAGTGGCGGCCCACTTCAGTGGCGGCCCACTTCAGTAATGGCCCACTTCAGTAATGGCCCACATCAGTGGCGGCCCACTTCAGTGGCGGCCCACTTCAGTGGCGGCCCACTTCAGTGGCGGCCCACATCAGTGGCGGCCCACTTCAGTGGCGGCCCACTTCAGTGGCGGCCCACTTCAGTGGCGGCCCACTTCAGTGGCGGCCCACTTCAGTGGCGGCCCACTTCAGTGGCGGCCCACTTCAGTGGCGGCCCACTTCAGTGGCGGCCCACTTCAGTGGCGGCCCACTTCAGTGGCGGCCCACTTCAGTGGCGGCCCACTTCAGTGATGGCCCACTTCAGTGATGGCCCACTTCAGTGATGGCCCACTTCAGTGGCGGCCCACTTCAGTGATGGCCCACTTCAGTGGCGGCCCACTTCAGTGATGGCCCACTTCAGTGATGGCCCACTTCAGTGGCGGCCCACTTCAGTGATGGCCCACTTCAAACCCTTGAAGTGAGCCATCAGCGGTTTAGGTTCAGCCCATTTTAAACTTGTTATGCTTGCATAACCTCTTGTGCTTCATGCACAAGAGAACACACCGGGTATATTTTCCCCTAAAGTAAGTGTACATCCCTAAAGTAAGCGTAGCTCCCTAAAGTGTAGATCCCTAAAGTAAGCGTAGCTCCCTAAAGTAAGCGTAGCTCCCTAAAGTAAGCGTAGCTCCCTAAAGTAAGCGTAGCTCCCTAAAGTAAGCATAGCTCCCTAAAGTGTAGATCCCTAAAGTAAGCGTAGCTCCCTAAAGTGTAGATCCCTAAAGTAAGCGTAGCTCCCTAAAGTAAGTGTAGATCCCTAAAGTGTAGATCCCTAAAGTAAGCGTAGCTCCCTAAAGTAAGCATAGCTCCCTAAGTGTAGATCCCTAAAGTAAGCGTAGCTCCCTAAGTGTAGATCCCTAAAGTAAGCGTCCCTAAAGTAAGCATAGCTCCCTAAAGTGTAGATCCCTAAAGTAAGCGTAGCTCCCTAAAGTGTAGATCCCTAAAGTAAGCGTAGCTCCCTAAAGTAAGCGTAGCTCCCTAAAGTAAGCGTAGCTCCCTAAAGTAAGCGTAGCTCCCTAAAGTAAGCATAGCTCCCTAAAGTGTAGATCCCTAGCGTAGCTAAAGTGTAGCTCCCTAAAGTAAGCGTAGCTCCCTAAGTAAGTGTAGATCCCTAAAGTAAGCGTAGCTCCCTAAAGTAAGCATAGCTCCCTAA